TTGTTCTTAGATTTCTGTACTTCGTAGTGTGGATCAGGCCTCTCAGCGTGACGCCTGTCTTCATTGCTCCAGTGTCCGCACCATCATTCCTACAATCGGTAGAAAAACACGTTTCTTGATTCCTTTATTGTAGGTCCTGACTGCTTCACGATATCTTTTCCGGTGTTCACTATAGGAACCAATTGTTTTCGGGGGCTCAGCTGTTGGATCATTGTCGAAAAACAAAATAATCATATCTGTTACTCGTGGATCGTAAGCAGTAGACTCGATGCCCCCCATGCATCATGACATACAAGCTCAAGATTCTGTTGTCTGTGTGGTAGAAGCAAGGCTTTTTTGGTGGCAATTCGATCGTCCATGTTGTAAGTTTCTTGAGCACTTTTAAGAGACATTCCTCGTCCAATATAGGTCCATTTTGTCGACATTTTTAGTGTTTCATTTGCTTCCAGATTCCCATTGCTCCGGTAGTACCATAACATAAGCTCGTCGTAGGTATCCAATTGCGCCTTCTTCCTCTTCAGTTGTCTAATAGCTGGATACCACGAATCTGCTCCTTGTAAGGAATGGCAGGCATGGTCGCTTGTTCTTACATAGGATTGAACTTTGCTCTCTTGCTTGTGTTGATGTCTTGGTTTAGAACCATCGTTTCCAATCATCCTCTCCAGCGACTACATTGCCGTCAAGCCCCTCACCCTCTCCATATTCGGCAGAATCAAGAGTCCTTGTCAGAGTCTTCCCTCGGATAGGTCACTATCACCGACCAAATCAGTGGAAAAATCGTTGTTGTTGTCATGATTTTCCCAAGCTGCTGTCATGATTTTGCAACTCTGTTTCTTCTCTTCATTGTTTGCCACCTCTGGCTGCTGGGCTTGGTTTGGTTTCTCTCTTGTTGTTGCCGAGGCGGAGAACCGACTGCGGCTGCTGTATTGTTATCTGTTGCTAGTGTTTCAAAGAAGCACTGGCATCCTCTTTTGAACCGTGCGCCTTTTGATGAGCTTCAGCCATTGTTGTTGTTTGCATAGCTCTTGGTCGTGAAGCCGGAATCCTTGGTTGCTGCTTCGCCGGAGATTTTCGCCTTCTCTTCGAAGATTCAGGACGTGTTGCTCCTGATGATGCATGTTGTTGCTCCTAATGATGCATGAGCTCGTTTACCACCAAGTACGGTGGAAAGAAGTATGATTCACCACCAAGACCCACCAACCTGGACCGACCTGGCCATCAATTCAGATCGTGATGGGGCTAATCTCTGACCTATTGTTGAAAGTAGAGAGGGCTTCCGGCTTAGCAGTACTACCAGTGCTCGAAGCTCAGCGGCACTACATGATGTACTCTTATTGATGTGCCGCCTCAATCCACTGTACGATAATACTGCTTTTGGCATTAAGGGCACTGCGGCATGGCTTCCTGTATCAATCAAAACTGGGATGCAAGTTGACCATTGAATTGTAGCATGATAAAGCAACATCCTCACCATCATAGCAGCACCACACCAGCTAACACGACTCAAGGCTCCCATTTTTTGCCTTTTTCTGCGATTTTGTGGTTGAAATAGGTGTTGGATTTATGACCTAACGACAAAGTTGGCGGGGGCACTTTCCGTGTTCCCCACCCATTGTATTCTAGAGTAGGCCTTAAGAATTTCTGAGAAGACTAATTATAATTAGAAGCATTAGGTCATGATTTTCACGGTGCACTCAAAATCTGCGTATTTATTTAGAATTGACGACCACCCTTCTACTTGATTCGTGTGTTTGGTCGTTCGAGGCTTCTTAGACGGGAGCCTAACGCCACGAGTTTGAGCACCTCTAAGGGAGCTCCACGGTCGCAAGCGACATGAATAGGGAGCCGCTCCATATCCCCTCGCATCATCAAACTTTCTGGGAAAGAATCCACGAGTAATTCCACAATATCTGCCGTCGTGGAAGCTGGCTCTTCCAATTTCACAAGCTCTGTCGTCGTGGGAGCTGGCTCTTCCGACCCGAAACGGAGAGCCCGCAGCGCGTCGTGAAGCGGCAGATCCCCATCCCTGTCTCGGGCTCGGACGGATTCGGGGCATTGCTGGGCGAGGAACTGGATTGTTTCCAGCGATCGCTTTGTGCACAACGCTGCCAAGTGGAGAGGTGTGAATGAAGATTCCGTGGTTGGTTTCTTCAGGCTTTCGGGATACTGCTCCGCCAGTGCCCGGATGATTGCGGTGGAGCAACCGGAATAGCAAGCCACGTGTATTGGCAAGTCAATATCCGGATCGTCTTCGTCGAAGTGTTCCAAGCGGACGCTCTCCGGCCACTCGGAGATCAAAAAGTCAAAAACTTGTTTCTCTATGAATGGATTGTCACAGGCCACATGAAGAGGAGACCTGCCGCACGGTAACACCTTCTTTGTCGCACTTCTGTCGTCGCCAAGGATTTCACGAATCCTCTCCAAACATGGTGGTAATTCTTCCTCTTCCAAAACCAGTTGCAATCTGGCTGCTGCAGTGCCACCGTTTCTTTCTCCCATTGTTGTTTGTTGTTGTCACACAGTGCGCTAGTGTTTTTTTTTAATAAAGTCGGAGCGAAACTGCTGTTTGCACTGTGGGATTGTGGGATCCATCGGCTCGTCGTGTATTGGTACCAGGTACCGGTACCGGTACGATAGCTGGCTGATGGACTTGGGCAAACGTGTCACGGTCTGCATGGCTTGAGACGTGTCTGTCACTGGAATTCTTCGTTGGGAGCTCATAAGCTCGAACCCTAAACGAACAACAGAATAATCAATGATGTTGAAAAGGTGTGAACTTGAACGCACAATTTCTCTAATTTAATCAATATCCTTCCAGCTCTACTGTCTAGTAGACTGGCTATTTGTTTCGTTTTCTCTTTCTCTCTCGTTCAGATTGTGAGCTCTACAACTGAGCTCCGATATGCATACATATACCAGGATCTTTCGATCCTCTGTTTCTCGCAGTTTCATCTACAGATGGATCTCGTCGATCTATCTTCCTGAAGTGCATGGTTGGCCCTGGAGGGCTTTCCCACTTTACTAAACCTATGGACCTTCATCCGTCCATTCATTTGTTCCATCCCGTCGCTCCTTGCATTCATCTCTTCGACCTAACTTCCTAACCTTTGTAGTTGCATCATCTAGACGACCATTGTCCTCGTTCCTTGTACACCTGGCCATCTGATGATGATCGGATAACCATCTGATTTGAGTCACACATCCCCAATCACGAACCGTGATTGTGGATCCCGAGTCGTCTGTCCGTCATACGAAAATACCTTTCTAACACCCTTCCTGTTTTCGCGATGATGGCAGCGACCTTCTTACCAACTCAAACCAATTGCTCCTTGTCTCCTGTCAGTTTCGGTGCATGTCTGTCGAGGGTCTCGACGTTGACATTCTTGGTTCCAATGTCGCTCACGTTGTCTTCCGAGCGAACGAAATCAATCTTCACTAGGCCGTCCTGCTGCATTTGGTTCACGTAGTGCCACCTCGTATCCATATGCCTTGTTCGACTTGCACTTGTCTTGTTCTCTGACATAAAGATAGCACCTACGTTATCGATCTTCACTTGCACAGGTAGTTCCACGTTGATCTGTAGGAACTTCAGAATCTGCGCGATGAACGGGACTTCTCGCACTGCTTCGCCACCGCGTAGAACTCAGTTCGGAACTCGACAATGCTACGACTTCTGTAGCTTGGACCTCCAGTGAATGAGTACACCTTCGAGAAAGATCATCATGGACGTGACTGATCTTCTGTTGTTCTTGTCTCCGGCCCAATCCGAATCCGAGAATACTTCCAATTTCCACGGTCCTTCGTTCTTCTCTGGTCTCATCAAAAGTCCACGGTTCCTTGAGTCCAACACGTACTTTACACAGCGTAGCATTCTCCTTGTACGCTGCGGCGTTGCGCATCCCAAGACCTTAGCTAGCTCTCGTACCGCGTTCGAGATTTCTGGCCTTGAATGCTTGATAAGGTACATGAGCATGCCTACTCCTGTTCGATATCTGCTCTGTTGTTCTTCAGCGATCCATTCGCTCTGTTCGTCTGTCTTTACTATTCCGAGTCCAGGTGTTCCCGCAGTCTTGTACTTGGGTAGCTTCTGTACCTCCTCTCCGAATGTGTTTGAATCTTCTTGATCATGTGGGGTTGTCCCACCCATGCAGCATCCTTTCGGGGATCCATCCGAATCTCACAGCTCAGGTAGTCCGTGAGTTCGTACTCTATGGTCATGTTCAAGCCTCGATCTTTAATCCCTTGAAGCACTTCCTTGATATCGTCTTCTTCTCCAATGGTGAGATTGTCATCCACGTAACATAGAATCACGCATATCTTCCCATTCTTGTTCCGCATGAAGAGGCATGGATCACTAGGACACGTAACGAATCCTAAGTCTTCCAGGACACTCGCAACTTCAAGTAGTACTGTCGTGCGCTCTGGCAAGCGCCGTAGATGGTCTTTTCCAGTATGACACATTCGTCATCTTGGTGTTCTAGTCCTTTTGGGCAGTCCATGTAGATGACTACGTCCATGTCTCCATGTAGGAATGCTGTCTCAATATCGAAGATAATTGCCTTCGCTCTTCCCATCTTCTTTAGTAGTAGAATCAAGATGATGCGGAAGGTGATGTCGTTAGCCACCGGACTGTAGATGTTGTCAAAATCAATTCCGGGTACCTGACTGTAGCCGCAGGCCACCAATCTAGCTCTGAATCTTCCATTCCGCTTGATTTCCAGCACCCACTTGTGTTTGACACATCGTCCCCTTCCTCCATTCTTGATTCTTATCTTGCGCCAGACCTTGAGTTTCTCCATCTTGTCTAGCTCGCCTTTGATCGCCTTCCCTCCACTTCTCTCGCTGAAATGGTTCCGGGTGGTCCCAACCGATTCCTCGAACGTGCTTGCCTTTGTGAACAGATACTTAGTACTTTGCTGGATCCTGAGTCCTTTGGTCATATGCGAGAGTCTATTGATCAATGGATGACTGTCCTAGTCCTCCCGTCAAATCCTCTTCTGATGCCGTGTACGCAAACTCCATCCAGTCTTCATGTGCGTTCCCCAAACGTTCTATCATTGGAATCGTCGAAAAGTTTGCCATTTCTTTTATTGGCGGTGATTCCGGTTGTTAGTGCTGAGCTGTTATCTTCTCTCCTCCTTCGGATGCATCGTCCGAAAGTGCTTGTATGAGGGAGCCCCCGTCAGGAGGTTGTACCGCCGCTAGCTTGTCCAGTGTCTGTATGGCCTGGGGGTTGTAGCTCGCACTGAGTTCCTGTAGTTCCCGCGTTGCCTTGGATAGTTTGTTCGCGACCGTGTCAGGTGGTTTGGCTGTTGGGATCGCCAGAACTTTATTAATCTTCTTGGTTTCTAGCGTGATTGCTCCTGCCTTGGTAGTCTTCGTGGGCTTAAGGAGCAGATCATTAGAGTTCGATTCCCGATTTTCTGTAGGTATGACGCTGAGGAGTTTGTCCTTTCCAATATGTGTGAGTTCTTCTGCTGTGCTGGGTGGACCCATACCCTTCCAAA